TATCATTTGAAAAGATCCTCCCCTATTCAAAGATTCACACAATAGGCGATTTAACAATGGTGCATTGTGCCAGCTGTAACAATGGTGAGGCTCCTCTGATCAGTGTGTGATATGGAGGCAGATTTTGGTTTGCTTGCAGATCATAAGGAGAGGAGCCATGGCGAAAAAAATGCACACAGTATTATTGCTACATTCACAAGGAAATTGTTGAGGAGGAAACAAAAGAAAATCACTAGATACCTATATTTACATAATGCCAGTGCCCCAATGTCATCTGTAGTTTATGCTTATTAATATAACTGTTGTATACACATATTTGTAATGAGACAGTCTACAGAGCCAAGGCCAAAGTGAAAAAAAATTACGTTGTTAATTATCACATTAGGCAAAACATATCACTGGGTCCATCCATAATGTAACAGTGATGGCAGTATAAAACTTCATGTACACAGGAATGCATGCATTTGCATGTGGATGCATACATGTGCATTAAATGTGTCTTGAGGTCGCTGAGACTGCAGATTGGCTTAGCAACAATCAGTTAGCTGTCTTAGATTTGACTTAAGAAGGGAAAGTAAAGTCTTCTCTGGCAGCCACTTTGGGTATGAGGCCACAGGGAGCTAACAAACAGGAACTATCATTTCTACACAAGATTTTACACCAGAGTTTTTAGATGTAACTTTTAAGCATCACATCCAACTGGTACATTCAAACAATGACCTTAAATGACCACCATTGGATGAGTAAGATCATGGGCCAAACATTTATAGGTAAACCAAAGGTTACCAAATCTATTTCAAATCAAAGTGCAGAGGCTTACTAACACTCACTTTACCGTGAAAATTATGTAGACCCATAAAGCTTTTCAGTGCTTTTCAGGGCACTTCTTTGAACACCAACCCTCGCTTATTTTATTCTGAAAACATCACATGATGGAAAAAGGCTTTACTATTCATCGCTATTCCTCTCCTTGTTATTCTCTAGGGATACACAACCTTTAAAGAGACCTTAGTTGGTCCCTCCACTGGGTCCCTTCCCTTGGTTTCTTGTGAAAGAGCCACTGTTCTCTTGGGTTCTGGATGCCGGGATCGTCCTGATCCAAACAAACACTGTTTGCAGAACTAACATCTTTGTTCTTTATAACCTGATTATGCATGTGTGCCAAAGTAGTCTGTACCAGCAGCTCTGCTTCCCAAGCACACATGCCAGCCAGTGCATGTTCACATAGGAATGTACACATGCTCACTCAAACACACTTTCTTTCATTGCCTAAAAATGGACTTGGATACTGAGACCTATTAAGAATTTTGCTCCAAGGCATTGGTTTAAAAAAAAACTGTGATAAAGGAGGAATATATAACAAGGTCAAATAACCAGATCACCTTCTTTTCAGTTTTCACATATTCCTTCACTGCGAGCAGTAGCCTACGGTACGTTTTGTTGAAAATAGCGCAAGATAAAAATGAAGTCTCTTGGCCTGTACTTGCAGCTTCCAGTAACAGTTGAGTGACTCAGTCCTCCTCACAAATAATCTCCACAGAGGGAATAATCACTTCAAATGTTGAATATAAAATTATATTTATCTCACAGAGTAGCTTTATGAAACAGCATTTCAAAGCCATCAGGCTACTGATTGTGAATGAAGTAGAATGTGAGAGCTGTTGACCTTGAAGTGTGTAAATGAATGTGTGTTACCTCCCAAAGAAGCCAACTTCCAACCTGCACACAGACAAAAATCTTTTAAGCAAGCGATGCTGTGACCTTGGTTTTCTCGTACTCTGTGTTCCTGCATCAGGCTATTCACTCACACTGTGATTGGAAGAAATGAGTCTGATAAATGCATCACAAGCAGGGGATGCTTGAAGAGTGCTTACTCTCTGAATGATGCATTACAAAGATAAATCATGCTTCCATAACTAAGAAGCACACGTCTGGAAAATGTGGGAGTGCAAACATGCACACACTTGCACAAGCATACATGTTTACAATGAGACACAAGAAGAAAGATAGAGGCACTAGCTGCTAGAAAGCAGTAAATAAGTTCAGGATGAGCAAGACTCCACTAACAATATGTTTACTAAAACAAATGCAGCCAGTTATCAGGACACAGCATAAAAACTGACTCACTGAGTGACCTTATCGCCATTAATTAATAATTCAAGTGGATAATTACACTCATTACAGAATATAGGCTGGTAAACTCAGCAATGTTCCAGTCGGAGATGTGTGAAGTCAGGGAGTTCTGCGGGGGACTGACCTCAGATAACAGCCGCAGACAAATGCATATCTGCGGTTCACATCAGTATGCAGGAGAAACCTGATTGAAGTGGACTTCAATCTGCGAGAAGTCATCACAAAGATGTACAACATACACAACTAACTGTAATCATGTGCACTGAAGCACACACGCGCGCAGCAGTACAGCGCATTGTGCCTTTTCTCCTGAGCTTTCTCAGCACTATTGGAGTTGGTGTTGCGTTTCTGAAGTGATAGCTGGCTCGATGACTGCTGCTGGGATTGGCTTTTCCCTGCAGATGCTGACGTGACACTTTGGGACGTCTCTGCTCCCCTGTGAGGTCCTCCATAGGTGAAAGAAGACTCCTGCTGGCACCAGACCTGTCTGACCACTGCACAATGTGAGACAGGTGTGGTCCTCCGTGGCTCAATGGGGAGTGCATTGAGGTCTGCAGATTCCATCATTTGGCAGTCAGTGCAGACCACGGCACTTTGGCAATTTTAGGGCTTAAATTCCCCTTGGTATAACTGATTCTAAAAATGTGCACGACTGAACTCAAAAGCAAAAGCATCCATTGAATTTCTAATGTTAGTGTGTGGGAAATCAATTTGCTCTCACTTCCAGGCAGCCTTCAAAGACTTTACTAACACTACAACACTGGCTAATAGTTGCGTGAAAGATCACTATAGGCTTCAGGTTTTCTGTGCACTGCAAGAAAATGAGGTTCATTTGTAACCGTGCAGATAAGTGGAGAAGTATTCTACAAGTCTTTGAACTTGCATTTTTGGCTCATCGCAGCAACAACATTCATTAGTGCCAATTTACTGTGTGAGACCTCAGAATCAGTGAATAGGAGAACATTCAGCCTACCTTTCCATCACTGTCCTGGCGCTTTCTCATTTCAGCAGCACGGCAGTAAAGACTGGATGAGGATGTGGTCGCACATTGAGCACCATATCAGCCTCTCTACGCTGGCTGCCTGCCTCTCTCTGTCTGACTCCCTTTGGAATCGCGAGTCAATTTAGTCCCTGGTAGTGTGGGAAAATCCGCTTATCCGCGGACTACACTTTTACGCGGAGCTGCACCGCTTGCCTATTTCAATCTTGTGTGGAAGCGCCCTGCCTGACAGCGCCTGATAAAGTGAAGATTTACAGGCGGACAAAGTGAGGAGCAATCCCTCACACTTTAGCTTACTCCATCAGTTTCTGTACGCTCTATATTGGCCCGGTGATTTAATATCTCTTCAGCGTCTGGTGGCTAACCCCCCCCCCCTCCTTTAAAGCACACGCACACACACACGCACTGCAATGAAAGAAAGTATAACCTGTAAAGAACAAAGAAGACTTCATCGTGATTAAGCCATAATGCATACACATAGACTACAAATAAACATAAAAAATAATAAACTCGCTATCAAAATGGGAATATTGTATTTATTTCTAATGCCCTATATACTCCTTATTACACTGGTTGGACAAAGTTACAAAAGGAACAAAATAGGATAAAAATGATCACTTATTAATTGATGGTGTCTGAGGCTATTTTATTAAAACTCAAGTTCACATGGAACCATGATAAATTATAAGAGGCTATAATGACGCAAAATTGTATGTCTATAATGACTAAAATTGCAGCATCTGTCATAAATAAATGCGACTAACCTACCTGGGCTGGGTGGTTATTCCGGGAAAAAAAGATGTGCGTAAAACGCACCGGTCCGGCGATCAGCCCTTGGAGACGAGCAGAACAGGATCTGTATTGTCGGTAGTGCTGAATGAAATCCCCTCTTGTCTCGAACAAAACCTCTTTGTAACTTCTGTCTTGTCATCTCACGTCTCTGTTCCACCGGGCGTGTGTCTGACCGGGTTGCTTCTTTTGATATCCGCACCCCAAAGGGTACCCATCGGTGCGCACTCAGTAGGCTCTTCCTCCCTGCTGCCGCTGCTGCTTCAAAATATCCAATTTCACACTGTAGCTCTCTTTCTCCCAGCAGAATTCCCTTTTAGAGCCGATGTAATAATGTCACTGGATACTGCAGGAGTTTTATGGACTCAGTACAATACCCCGAGTCCTTGTTCTTGGACTCAAGAAACCCGGGTTGTTAGTGCTCTGATATGCGCAGGATACAGCAATAATGATGTCAACATACCCCACTGTCGTCTAACATTGGTAATTCTTACTGTCCAATAAGATCCAAGGAATGATGACATCAAAGGATATCTGTTCAATAGAACAGGGCTGCGCTAAATTAATACCTTGGCATTTTTGGATAGCTCAGAGATGCAGTCATGAGTTAGTGTGTGAGTTTTTAACTTTGGCTGTAGATAACATTACTGTCTGATAAATTATCACAAGCACTGACTCCAGACCGGGGCTGTTAGTAACCTGATTCTTAATACCTGAGTTTTAAATAAGCCTTGTAAAAGTCCCTCTTGAATCAAATTAATTTTCAATGTGAAAGAAAATGCCTTTTTTTTTTATATAATTTATTATTATTATCTTTTTATTTTAGTCCATTTTTAGCACCACTAACTACAAAGTAGGAGAGAATGACATTACACTAAATAAGCAGTAAGCTACTGAACCGTAGCTGCTCCGTGGTGTGCTTCTGATTTACTCAATCTCCCACAATGCAACGCAAGAAGCGGCGTCAGAATCTCGCGACCCAACGTGGTTTTTTTTTTGTCGTTTAGCAACCAACCTCGCGTTAGCTTTGTCTGGACCATAATTAATACCTTCTTAACACTTAGTGGCCATTGTAGCTCTAACGGTGTGAGTGTGGAAGGTCTTTTAATCCCCGTTTACACCTCAGTGACAACTTAAACGTTTCGTTTGTGGGAGGTTTTTACCGGGAATAGCGGCGGAGTTTCATCACGAGTCGCACCAGTTCCATGTTTGGAAAATGAAGTATGCTCTTGAAGAAACATCAGTCAGCTTTCTGCTTGACGCTTCTCTGATGTACAGAGAAACATGTCCGGGGATTTCACGGTACTACATGTAAGCAACTTTGTTTAAAGTCCTACATGAAAGCGAGTCCTTACTTTCTGTGCTTTTATTGTTGTAATGGCAGCATGCAGCCGCTAGGTGGAGGAGCTCGACCAGTGTTAACAGCTGACTTCCTGCCAATGTGATCACAGCTGCGCTTATAGATTAAGGGTAAGTACTCATACACTGACATCTTTTATTCTTATAACGTTAAAGAGGCGCTCTACGATTCTTACGGATCCATTTATCTACCACACTCTTGTCATATACCAATCATAGGAATTATACACCTCGTTAAAGGCCCGGTCAGTCATTTGTAGACCAGAAATATTTCACAATAAATCAGCATTTACTGTGACCATAACCGAATGTAGTTAAGTATAATATTGTTTTACTGGTGCGTTAACAAATATTAATGATGCTATAACAGACCTTTAACAGTATAAGAAAGCATCAGTAACATTTAATTAAGTCAAATTGAGGGTGATGGCAGGGAACTAGTAGTGGTAGGTTGGGGCTCTGTTACTAGACCTACTCTATTTGAAAAGATAACCTTTGATATCAATTGGTGCTATACAAATAAAATGTAATTAAATATTAAACCACTGTTCAAAGGGAAAAATACTACTCTAATTCTAATTTATAAATGTATATATAATAAGAGCAGAACAGAAGCCATAAACAATAAATAGAACAAAGTGAACAGATGACATCACATAAAAGCAATAAAATCTATACGAATGGGTTTTAAGGAATTACTGTAAAAGCACGGTCATCTTAAGATTTAAGCCTCGACTTTGGAACAACCAGAAGGGACCTAAAATTGAACCTAAGATTTCAAACTGGCTCATTTCTGCTATGTAGCTTGGTGCCAGACCCAGACGTGCTTTAAAGAAAATTAGTAAAATCTTCAAATCAATTCTAAAACGAGCAGGGAGCCAGGATTGGGGTGATGTGATGTTGTCTGTTAAAACCAGTAAGAAGCCGAGCTGCTGCATCCTGAACTAGTTGGAGACGAGAGTTACAGTAGTCGGAACAAAATGAGTGCATGAATGACTTTTTCCAACTCGGGGTGAGAGAGGATTGGTTGCGGTACACCACAGGTATTGTGAGTTGTAGAAGATGAATAATTATCTGTGGTGACTGAGAAGGTTGTCTCTAAGAGTTCAGAATAACACCAACTAACTGCAGTGTCTTTGATACCAGTACCAGTACCAGTACCAGTGGGTACAGTGGGTTGAGAATTGGCTGTGGCTGCAGTATCGCTCCTCTTACCACATATGTGTGCATTGAAATCTGCATAGGGCTTGGTTATATATCACCCTCATGTTTTCTCTCCTTTCCATAAATTTGCCCATATGACAATGTGTTACGGCCATCTTAAGGGATGACAGCTCATTAGTGACTGATCTATGTTCACAATGATAAACCACATTGTGTTTGTCCCTCCGAAAAGACATCAAGGTGAGTAAGATCAAGATTTTGTACATTGAGTAGTGCTTCTTATTGTGAAGCATGAATGTTTGTAGTCGTTAGGAGTCCTGCTGCTATTCCTATGACATGAGTGGCCTATTGAAGCTGGACCTGTGTCCAGTGATTGCAGGTGTAGTGGGCAAGTTTGTGCAGCATGTGTGCAACCTGAATTCAGATGAACTTAAGCGTCATTCAGTCTCAGGCAGGTTCAGAGTGAGCACTTTCCTAATGAGCATAAAAAAAATGAGAGCAAGTCAAAGAAAACAAAGGGCTGCAAGCACAGACTCTCCCTCCCATCATCGGGTTGGAGACGGTCTGTAAGCCTCCTCTCCTCTCTTCTATCTTCTGCATGGCTTTCAAAAGGACCCATACAGAGAACCGAGGCTTTTCCAACGTCCCAACTGTCTTTATCTAATTAGCCTCATGTAGTCAAGTCTTCCCATTCCTATTGGAGTAAAACACGACAGTAATTAATGCCAGTTTGTAATTGGCTTCATCATTTACGGTTCACTGCTTCAGTGTTCTTGCTTTTGCCAAAATAAGAATTTATTCAATTTTCTTCTGATGGCGTATCCCACATAGTGGTGATTGCCTTATTGTGTGAAATGTGAAAGCCAAAAGTAATTTCAGGAGAAATCCTCTTAAGCTTTAGTCTGTGTGTGTGTGAGTGGAAGAGAAAGAGATTGTGTGTGTGTGTGTGTGTGTGTGTGTGTGTGTGTGTGTGTTGGCCCTGCATACTTCCAGGTGGACTGTCTGCGGGTACAAATATCTTTAGCATTTATATGGGTATTAATGCATTTAAAGTAAGTGTGTGTGTGTGTGTGTGGACTCCTGTATTTGAGTTGGGTTCCTGCCATGTCCCTGTATCGGCTTGTTTTCGCTTTCACCTGGGCCAGGAAATTTGGGGTTCAGAACCATGAATGGAAACAAAAACAGAGGTTTTAATTGTGAAACCCCAAGTGAGGGTCGTTTTACGGATGTGTGTGAGAGCCCGCTGCTCCTTTTAATACATTGATCTGTTCCCCATGATGACTATGATGGGCTGTGGTTTCAGAGAACATTTTGAACTATAACCAGCTGCCCAGCAGGCAAGACACAAAGCTGAATGTTTGGCCCACTGGCTGTAAGACCTGGCTGGTTTCATGCCAAAGTGCCTGGCAGAGAAGGCACAATTAGCAGCCGCAGCCAAAATTTACACCGAGTGTGACGAGCTAATTGAGTACTGAATCTGATATTCAGCCAGGGTGATAATATGGACGGCGTACTTGGAGGGAAATGACTGGAAATTAGAATTAACGTTTCAGAAAGATGTCTTGGACACACAGTCGATCATTTAACTGAGGGGGGAATGAAAATGTTTCTATCAGCATCCACTCAGAGAGCTGGCGTACGTGGTCAGCGTGTGTTGATGATGTTTTTAGTCCTAATGAACCGCAACTCTCTCTCTGTTTTCTTCTGGGGGTTTTCAGTGTCTTCACTTTCTCCAGTTATGGTTGAGGTCATGCGTCACTGGAGTCAGTTAGTTTCGCGGGTGCGTGTCAGTACTCCTACACACTACTACATATTTGTTGGAGATCGTGTTACTGCCTTCTACGGCTGTCTTCACCTTCTGTCTGGCTGATGATGACTGAATTTGTTTGTGTGTATGTTTTCATCAGAGTTACAGTTAGCTTTAAGTATTATTTTCGCTCTTAGTTTCAGTAAGAATGCATCAATATTGACTTTTGGTAAAGGCCTTCCTGAAATATTTTCAGTCAAATGTTATTAGTCTGTTTTCTCTGTGCAGAGTGTATTTAGCGAACGCCAGAGTCTGTTTCATGGTTGTGTTTTTGTCCTTGTACGTGAAGTGACGTGACTTTATTGCGGCTCACATTGCCAGACTACTGAAGCTGTTCCAGTAAGTTCATTATCATAGTTGTGTGTCTGGTAACTGGAGCCTGACTCAATGTTCTCAAAATATGCAACATGTTTTGCTGGACAAACAATGTCACAATAACTCTGCTTTTAAATAGCATCAAGTGCTTTTCTTTTGCATTAAATACTATTATTTCTTCTTCATAGACACCGATACATCCAATATCAACCAATATATATATTAATGGAGGTTAATGCAGGCAATAATTAAAGCCAAGTAAGGCTGCAGTTATTATCTTTATTATCAAATACTTGGCCGTTTTTTCTCTATTAAAAAGATTAAAGATGACCATTATTATTTCTCACAGTCTCTTAGTACAATCTTAGATCAACATGTTAGCATGCTAATGTTGGCTAATTACTACCAAACACAAAATACAGTTGAAGTCAATGGTAATGTCATTATTTATTGCAGGGATGTGGTCATAAACCAAAGTATTGGACAAATTCAATTCAATTCATTCACCTTTTCATGGTAATCCATCCAATAGTTGTCCAGACATTTCATCTCATTTTAAAACTAGAGTTGTCAACGTCATGGTGGTGCTAGAGGAAAAGTCAGGGTATCGCTTAAGCATTAGGGTTCATCGTCTGGCAACCGTGAATGCCTGTAACAAAGCTGTGTGCCAATCCTCCCAGTAGAAGGTGATACAGTATTTGTTTGGTCACTAAGTTATTCCTCCCTCTGTGCCCTCACCCTCTTCCACAGTATCTCTCGTCTTACAACCCCTCTTAGCAGTAGCCATCAGACGTCTCCACCCATAACAGTGAGCTCTAGACTTTAAGGCACCTGCTTTCTTTGTCGCATCCAGTGGGTAAATGGGATCCTGTCAGTCGGTGCTGTAGAAAGATACAGGATCCAGACACTGACCACACCTCCACCTGAGCGCCGGCTATTGTGTCTGAATATCTGAGTTAAAAGCATCGGCGAAGGTTTTTTAGTATACGCCAGCAGTCATACGGTTTTCCCTGATGGTAGCAATAAAATGTTCATAGTGCTTTTCATTTCTGTGCTTTGCCTCAGCCAGCGCTTCTGTCTCTAATTACATTATTATATTATAGCCAACACATAATGCGTGCCCCCCTCCCCAACCTCCACCCTCTACCCTTCTGCATCTTCCAAGGCTCTATTGATTGCATCTCCCAGTTGTCGGCAGTTCATGTGCTGGGCCCATATCTTCAGTATTCATCACCACAACTAAGTGTGCACTTAAAAGGCGATGCATGACAAGTATGTTAATAAGATTAGTGCAGTGGAAGAGATCTTTTGCGGTGTACAGTTTCTGAGAGTCAGGGGAGAAGTGGGACGGGAGACTGTGGGAAAACAAAATTCTCCAAGAATCCGGCTTCTATACTCTTGAGTCATCAGCGGTCTGGTCGTAGCCATTACAGAGAATTTTATTTTTTGTTACTGCAAAGCAATGAAAATGTGCTCATATGTAGTCAGGATGGTGTCAAGTGCACCTAATGATCATTGGTTATCAATAGTTAAGCAAATACCTCAAGAAATTTATTCAAAGGATGATGACAAAGTCTTTCTTAACAGCTAAGTTTTCTGGAAATGTTTAAGGCCCATGAGTCATTATCAGTCCCATTCCACCACACCGGCCTCAAACAGCTTCTCTTCATTTCCAGTATTTTCTGACGGGGCTTCTATATGATCTGACAGTCTAATCCAGTCGCTGATTATTAAATTGTGGGGGATCAAGGGACAGTGAGTCAGACTGTGGGATGAGTGATGGCAGATACGTTGCAAATCTTTCTCCACCCTGTCATGCATCCAGCCGCAGCCAGCGTCATCCGGCAATGTAATGCACCATCTCACCTATGGGTTGGTTGAGAATGCCAGTGAAGAGTGTCAACAAACCGCTGCCGCCAGACGCCACAGCGGCCGCCGCCGGCAGGTCATCTCCAGATTAAAGTCGACCCCATGCTCCCCTCCTCCTCTCTATAAACAGTCCAGGCCCCGTTCCTGCCCCGTTCCTGCCACACGTGCAGCTGGACAGCGAATTTCCCTTCATCGATTTAAGCCCAGGGCTAATTTTAGTGGGGCTTAGCAGCGGCTTAGTTAAAATGTTTGTACTAATATCTCATTGCGAGCGTTCCAACATTGGAGGCGGCCTAGTGGTCACAGAGGCAGCCCGGTGGCGGGGAAGGCCATTGAAATGGTTTGGAGTGTTGCCCTATATTGTTTGGGAGAGACCTGCTTGCTTTTTCCGGTTGCATGTTTTCCATTACACATAATAGAAAGGGCAAACTTTCCATCTTTGGTTTATTTGCGTGACTGTATTGCAGCAGAATAGCTAACTGCCAGTTTCTTTTACTAAATGAATTGAATTGAAAACTGCGTGGAACCAAATTAGTCCAAATATTCTTTCCTTATTTTACTTACTTACTTACTTTACCTCACCCATCACTTACCTCTTAATTTGTATATTATGTTGTCAGAAAGGAGCTGTTCTAATGCAAAGGCCATATTGAAAATAAATGAATATATGTATGTTGAAGTATGAGAATGCTTTTCTCCAGTATTTTAGAGAACAAAAACATAATTTATTCAATAGAAGCTGTAATTATTGAAGTGTTACTTCATAATCATTTTGTGCTAATGGTTTTTAACATTAAACTCAGTTATTGACTCATTTTACTCATATCTGGTGTAAGTATGTGTTCAAATGTCTGATCTTGTCTCCTCTTTTTCTTCCCTATAGGCAGTCCTTTGTGAAGTCTAACGGTAAGCACATCCTTGACGAATTGTACTTTATATTTACAGTTTTTGTTATATTTTAATTTTTGTGTTCATCAGTCATGCACTAAGAGTCTATAATAGCCATAAAGAGCGGAATGCAGGAGTAAATAGGACCTTGTCACCGGCTTGTCAAGGTTGATAAACCTCAATAAACCCTCAGCCAAACACACTGAGTCAGCCAGCTGTCTGAAGCAGACTGCGTGGTGGGATCAAACACACATACACACACACACACACACACCCACATACATATAGGGACATGCCAGCCAAAACCACATCAGTAGGTAGTGGTACCATTTAGTCGGGCTGTTAAGGCTTTTCTCCTCCAAATAACACAGGGGCTGGTCCCTAAGAGAGTAACATTGTGTGTGTTTGAAATGTGATTTGAATGTAATTGCTTGTCCCATAACCTGATAATTTGATATGGCCTTATAGAGTCTAGCTGTTGAGAGAATAAACAGATTAATGAAAATGTTGTTTGGGAATGAGGATTGTTTTTCTCTGAATATAGAAATATGTTGATGAGTACATCTGTATGCAGTGGTTAAAACGATGATCCCATCATTGATCTTTCAACTACCTGTATAAACAGATATCTCTCTGCCTCTCTGTTTAATATGCTGGCTTAAAGGGATAGAAAACCATCAACAAACTTCTCATTCTCACCCTTGTGTACACTTTCACCACTTCAGTCATCTGGGTTTTATTGTGTTGAGAAGAAATATGCATGACCACACCACAATATTTGCTTTAAATAATCTTTCTCTCCTTAGCACCACGGAAGCGGAAATTCTCCAGTCTGTTGCAGAACACCATGGTGTGTCCAAACTGTTGTCAGTGGCTGCAGCCTGACAATCACCAGATGAGGCTGCGGCCCAAGCAGCGTCCATCCGCGCGGTTGCAGAGCATCCTGCGCAAGAAGGCCAGGGGCAAACGGCTGAGCCTGATGCAGAAAAATCTGCTGCACCGCTTCCAAAAGTCGTCCTCAGTACTGGTGAGAAGACAAAACACTACAACCCCACAGACCTGATAATGTATTACACCAGGGGCGTATGCCTGAATTATGTCCTCAGCTACAGTAGTGTTAAACTAAGGGGAGGTATGGACAGCAGAGGTTTTTATAGCCTGACTTTAGTTTTTGGGACAGATGCTGATATTGGTATTTAAGAATAATACTAATGTTAGAAAGTTTTATGCATTATTTCCACGTTGCTGGTGTAGACCTCTGACATATGAAGGAGGCAAGCCAAAATAATTTATCTGTGATCAAAAATATATCACATCATTATTTAATGTAACACAATAAATTGTCTCTTAAGGTATCGTTTCCAGCCACTATTTAGATTTATGAAGTCATTTGTATTCATTCAGTGCTCCACTTTTCATTACAGTCTTTACACTGGTCCCATTAAGCTTAACTGTAAGAGAACTAATGTTGCCAGACAGCACTTTGTCAACACACCCTGTTCCCTTCCACTGCCCCCTAAATTGTTCTAGTGCTCTTTTTTGTCTGTCCTCTTAATGGATGCATCAGGCAGGGACTACATGGAAATCTCAGATTGGCCACCACCCACCCACTCTACTGATAGAGAGCCCCCCTGCATCAGAGAGCAGGGATAGAAGAGAACCACCGAAGAGCCCCTCTGGTTATCTGACATCAGCCTAATGAAGAGCAACTCTAGTGGAAATGTTGCCGTCTCATTAAAATCTGGTTGGGTTCATTTAGTATGCAGGTATTCACCGCACGAGGCACTCTGAACCCACTCTCACTATATATCTGTTGACTCTGAGGGCAGAGAGGAAGACAGAGACGGAGAGAGGGAATAGGAATTAAAAAGGTAGTGGGAGAAGTGGAGGAGAATAGCACAGGAGACTGAAACAGAAAAGGTGAAAAGAAAAAGCAAGAGGGTGGAAAGCAGATAAGAAAGGTGAACAGGAGAAGTCAAATGATGGACTGCAGGAGAAAAAGTTGTCATCTTGTAACATCATTTTGTATGCAGCAGTGGCTGTGTCCTCCTTCCTGTTCTACTTCTGTGGACTGTGGTGAAGGTCAGATCCAGGGTCTGATAGGGAAGTCAGCTGGAGAAAACGATTTAAGAGAGTATTTACATGAAGGAGTGGTCCTCAGAGGTCCTCCTTCATTTAATTTACAATTAATGACATAATTAACCAAATGGAAAATAACTTCTTTCTTACACAGTAAAAGGGTCCTAAAATATAAGAGTGTAGCTACAGTCTTAACAATAAGAGTAATATAAATATCCCACTGTATCAAAGCTGCAACAACATAAATTTCATGAAACATGATTTCATTTCGGAAATCTGCTAACATCAGAAATGTTATTATCATCCCTGAATTGTTTGAATAATAATAGATAATGCTGTGTGGTGCCTTGTCACATAGACCTTTGGAAGAAAACATACTCAAAAGCATCCAATTAGTAGTCATCATCTCTTGAAACATAAAAGCTCACACTCACACTAGCTGTTCTAAGTTCAGATGTAGTCTAGTTATAACCTTAGTGTTTCCAAAATGAAGATTTACATTTACAAAAGAGTTAACCACATAAACTAGTTCCTATGTAGAGACTAGTTGTAAGTAAATAATCCCAGCTACCAACTGCCAGGTGTAACTGTTACATAACTACAGTAACTGTGCTAGCTAACAGACAGAACTAATGCTAATGTTAGCTTGGGATAATGTGACTTGTTTAGACTGAAGAGTAAAAGAGGTGAACAGTAAGAGGTTGACATATCTGAGCTGACACTGAAATTGAAACTGTTAACATTAGACTTATGACCAAGTGATGTTGGTTAGGTTGGCGTTAATCAGATATTTCCTTCTCACTCTTCACAAACAAAGCAAAAACTGGCTCTAGATAGGGCCACTGTAGTTTCAGAGGGTGAAGCGAGTGAGTTGCAATCTGCAACTACAGCGTTAAATGCCACTAAATCTTACACACTGGCTCACTAAAACTATTATTTTTGGCACTTATGGTTAAGCGAGCGCAATTGAATTGTCTACAGCCGACTTTCCTATTTTATGTAGGTGAATTGCTTTTGATGGATGGTAAACTAAAGTGTTTCCTAGTTACTGATGTACATGTTACTAAAGTCTTTAACAGCTAGAACATTCCTGAAGTTCTAATGGTGCAACACGATTTAGTAAATCACTACTTTATAACAAGCTAGTAGCTGCTAAGATCCTGGGACGCACTTTACACACAAACCTGGCGATGGATTTATGAATAATTGGTGCAACCCAATCATGGACTTCAAATCCATACACTGTTGGGCTCTTACTCTCGATACATCACCCTTAGTCAAACACAAGTATGTTGTGTGTTGTACCCTGAAAGCCTCTCTTAAAGACATTCAGCCATGTCTGTGCACCTCCCCTCTTACTCATTTGTCAACAGTGTTTTGGTCACAATGGAGAACGCTGATGCTTGTTCAACACACGACTTCCTTGTAAACCAGTACAACCTGAGCACGTCCTCCAAGGTATTTTTATCCCTCACTCGCCTGTCATACTAGAGGTTCAAGGGGCAACAAGTCAAGCCACATACGCGACGGCATACACATGTGCTCGGCAGGAGGGTGATAGCGACGTGATACCTTTAAAATGCAGAGTGCTGGAGCGGTGAGATAAGAGGAGGTATTTATACTGCTTTCCTTTCTTTGCCTCCCTGGCTCTGTGCTGATGAACAGAGCACAACAGCCCTGACAGGAAGAGGGGCTCAGCACGAGAGCCTGAATAAAGAGATTAGCATCCACTCGTCCCCTCTTCAAAGATAGAAGCATGGGGTCATAGTTAGGATAACGGGAGAAATCAGATGTAATAGAAGAAGTGCCTTTTTGGCACTTTGAGAAAGATGCTGCCGTCCACAGACTTGAAAATTGCCTGAGTTAAGATAATGTGCCACAGTGACTGTGTACCCTTAATTTGTTTTTGTTAGTGTTTATTTTATTGTTTTATTTCAGTCTGCCAGAGTGGAGTGTTATGGCTGTGTACACAATATTCTGCTCCTTTTACTGTTAGTCACATGAAACCCGCAGGAAGAAGTAGAGGATTTATTGTAGAAATAATCAAAACATGCCATCGTATAAATTTATTGTCCAATTTGTGCCTGTTTGTGCGCAGATGTTTGTTTAAAACGAGGTGTGAGTATTTGCAGATGGAGAATCAAAACAATTGTGAGATCTCGCTCTTGCTGAGAGGTGCTGTGGGACACATTTGTGCTTATTGTTTTTTAAATCTCATATTTGGATTAAGTTAAATAGATTTCCCAGGCCAAATTGCATTCATGAAGTCTTTCCAGCTTTTGTGTTTTATTTAGTATTCCAAACAATACTACTGTAATCTGTAATTTTCTATACTGATCCTTTATAACATACTATATCTGCAGTACGTTTATGTATTGAACTTAAGGTGTCCCTTAAAAAAGCATGAAGACATCAGACAGACAGAAACATGTGACCAGTAGATGCATAGTCACAATCATACACATGGGCCATATTGGTGTGCAATATTTATACTCCAGGGTGTAAATTCCCTTCATTTCACACCATATTGCACTTCCTTTGGGGCGTATATACGTGCTGCCCTCAGGGTGGATGCCAGTGCATGATATGCTTTCCTCAGCTCTGTGATGCTGTGTCTACGAGGTATTATAAATCAGGTATGTTTATGCATGCCGGGCAGGTTATCTAGCAATGGATATGGAAATAAGTTGGATTGTTGCCCCACGAGAGAGGCAGAGACCCTAAATGGAGCGAAACATAGCACATTCTCCTCCGCCTTCCTTCTTCTGTTCTCTCTCCTTGAGACGAGATTTATACTTCCCAGCAGAGTTGTTTGTTACAAGAAGAAAAAAAAAA